ATATTCCATCTGCCAAGTTTTTGCCTTCTCATTTAACCTGTCTGTATCCCTCTATATACCCCTTATGTCATCCTCATTACTTGCCTTCCCATTTATTGTGTCATCTGCTAATCTGGCAACAGTACATTCATTTCCATTATTCAACTGATTGTATGGATTTCAATTTCAATTTCAATGTGGAAACAGGCCCTTCGGCTCAACAAGTCCACACCAACCTTCAGAGAGTCCCATCTAGACCCATCCCCCTATAACGCACCTAATCTACACATCCCTGAACACTATGGACAATTTCGCATGGCCAATCCACCTGGCCTGCACATCTTTGGGCTGTGGGAGGAAACCCACGCAGACACTAGGAGAATGTGCAAACTCCACACAGACAGTCGCCAGAGGGTGGAAGCGAACCTGGGTCCCTGGCACCGTGAGGCAGCAGTGCTAACCACGGAGCCACCGCAAATAATTGTGGTCCCAACAGTGATAAAGTTTTCCATCTTTAAAATGCCCTCATTGTCCCAACTCAGTCTTCAATTAATTAGCCAATCCTCCAACTGTGCTAGTGTAATACCCCAACAGTATGGGCTCCTATCTTTAATATTAGCCTTCTGTGCAGTACCTTAATGAAAGCTTTTTATACAGTCAGAGTCATACAGCACAGGAAAAGACCTTTTGGTCTTGTGCCAACCAAGTTTCCCAAACTAAACTATTCCTACTTGCCAGTGTTTGGCCCATATCCCTCTAAAGCTTTCACATTCATGTACCTGTCCAAATGTTTTAACTGTACCTGCATGTACCACTTCCTCTGGCAGTTCATTTCATATATGAACCACCCTCTGAGAAAAAGTTGCCATTCGGGTCCCTATATTACAACTAATGGTTCCTCTTTATCTATCCTGTTTGTTACCTTCTCAAAAAAACTGTAATAAGTTTATCAGGCATACTGTTCATGAAACCGTAATAACTCTGCTTGATTATACTGTGCTGCTAAATACTGTGCTTTTACACCCTTTAACAGATGCCACTATTTTTCCAATGACAGATATTAGCTAACTAGTGTATAATTATCTATTCTTTATTCAAAAAGGGAAGGAGACCTAGGCGTTACACAACTTTGATGCTTGGAGTCATACCTAGCATATAGGAAGTTGGTTGTGGCTGTTAGAGGTCAGTCATTTCAGTTCCAGGACATCTCTGCTCGGAGTTCCTCAGGATAGAGTCCTAAGCCAAACCATCTTCAGTCGCTTCAATGAACTTCCCTCCATCATAAGGTCAAAAGTGGGGATGTTAATGATGATTGCACAATATTCAGCACCATACATGATTCCTCAGATACCGAAGCAGTCCATGTTCAAACGCAGCAAGGTCTTGTCAGCCCAAGCTTGGATATTGTCAAATGGCAAGTCACGTACACCTCAACAAATGCCAGGCAATGACTATCCCCAAAAAGAGAGAGAATCTAACCACTGCCTCTTGACGTACAATAGTGTTACCATCACAATCTCCCACTATCAACATTCTGGGCATTACCATCGACCTGAAACTCAACTGGAAATGCCACATAATCAGTGGCTACAAGACCAGATTAGAAGCTAGGAATAATGTGGCGAGTAACTCAGCTTCTAGCTCCCCAAAGCCTGCCTGCCATCTACAAGATACAAGTTGGGTGTGAGAGAAATCTCCCCACTTCCTGCAGCTGCACCAATCCAGCAAAACTCAAGCAGCTTCACACCATCCAGAATGAAGCAATCCACATTTTGCTACCATATCCACGACTGTCCACACTCTCCACCACAAATGCTCAGCAGCAACAACGTGCACTGCAAAAATGCAAAGTTCCTTATACAGCATCTTCCAAACCCATAACCACTTGCATCTAGAAGGACAAGGTCAGCAAATCCAGAGGAACACCATCACATACAAGTTCCCCTCTAAACCATTCACCATCCTGAGGTGGAAATCTATTGGTGGGTCAAAGTCCTGGAAATCCCTCCCTAACAGCATAGTGCATCAACCCACTGCACATGGATTGCAGCAGTTCAAGGAGGCAGCTGACCATCACCTTCTCAAGGGCTTCTAGGGACAAACAATAAATGCTGGTCAGTCTGCAGTGCCCATGACTTGAGTGAACAAAAGAATTCATACACATACACTTTAAACAAAGAAAAACTTGTTTCAAATTCTTTAAAAAATGATAATAAATTGTGAAACATAAGAGATACATACAGAAATATCAAAGATGTAAAAACAGAAAACAAATGCAAGTAGTCACAATAAATCTTGAAATCTCCCAAAGGTGGGGATGTCTGAACTGTGCATAACCTGAGATAATTCCTTGGTTAATGCCTAACTTAAGTAATATTGCCATAGCCACTTTTACATATAAAGTAAGTTTTAATGGAATGGTACTTCAGTCAATGGTGAGTACTTTAATTTTTTTTATTTTATTCAAGCTCATCATTTTGCTAATCAGCTGGTAAAGAATGAAATGAAAATTCTAAGTTAAAACCAGCAAATATTTCTTCCCTCCATCCACTATTACATAGGAACTTGAGAACAGGAGTTGGTATTTAGCCTGTTCCACCATTCAACTGGCTTATGGATGATTTGTACCCTGCTTCATTTAGTTACCTTTAATCCACTTCCCTCAATATACTAACAGAACAAAAAGCTATTCATTGCAATCTTGAAAATTTCGAATTATCTGATAACTATGACATTTTGGGCAAGATTATCAGAGATTCCCAAGACCCTTTCTGCCAAAAGGTGCATCTTGAAGCGATGCTTTGATGATCTAGATCTAAGTTTTACGATCATGCCCCCTTTTTCCTGATTTCTCCAGCAGATATATCCAAGGCCTTTGATAAAGTACCACACGTGAGACTGCCGAGTAAGATAAGGACCCATGATGTTAGAGGCAAGGTGCTAGCATGGATAGAAGATTGGCTGTCTGGCAGAAAGCAGAGAGTGGAGATAAAAGGGTCTATCTCAGGATGGCAGCCGGTGGCATGTGGCGTTCCACAAGGGTCAGTATTGGGACCACAACTTTTCACTTTATACATTAAAGATCTAGATGAAGGAATGGAGAGTATTCTGGCTAAGTTTGCAGACGATACAAAGATAGGTAGAGGGACAGGTAGTATCGAGGATGCAGGGAGGCTGCAGAAGGATTTAGACAGGTTAGGAGAGTGGGCAAAGAAGTGGCAGATGGAGTATAACGTGGGAAAGTGGGAGGTCATGCACTTTGCTAAGAAGAATAAAAGTATGGACTATTTTCTAAATGGGGAGAAAATTCAGAAGTCTGAAGTGAAGAGAGACTTGGGAGTTCTAGTCCAAGATTCTCTCAAGGTAAACTTGCAGGTTGAGTCAGTAGTCAGGAAGACAAATGCAATGCTGGCATTTATTTTGAGAGGACTTGAATATAAAAGCAGGAATGTACTTCCGAGGCTCTATAAGGCTCTGGTCAGGCCACATTTGGAGTATTGTGTGCAGTTTTGGGCCCCACATCTCAGGATGGATGTACTGGCCCTGGTACGGGTTTACCAGAATGGTCTCAGGAATGAGAAGCTTAACATACGAGGAACGTTTGAGGACTCTGGGTCTATACTCGATGGAATTTAGAAGGATGAGGGGGGATCTAATTGAAACTTATAGAATACTGAATGGCCTGGACAGGGTGGATGTTGGGAAGATGTTTCCATTGGTAGGAAAGACTAGGACCCGAGGGCACAGCCTTAGAGTAAAGGGAAGACCTTTTAGAACAGAGACAAGGAGAAACGTCTTCAGCCAAAGAGTGGTGTACCTATGGAATTCACTGCCTCAGAAGGCTGTGGAGGCCAGGTCATTGAGATAGATAGGTTCTTGATTGCCAAGGGAATCAAGAGTAACGGGGAGAAAGTGGGAGAATGGGGTTGAGAAACTTACCAGCCATGATTGAATGGTGGAGAATATTCGATGGGCTGAATGACCTAATTTCTGCTCCTATTTATTATGGTCTTAACTCAAACGTTTGCGACCTGTCAAAATACTGTACTCGTTTACATCCATGTCCACTGTGCTTCTATCTAGACTCCTGATCTTCAAATGAAATTAAGATTAACCAAACTGAAAGTTGGTCAAAACCAATCAACTAAAAGAAACAAAATATGAGCATCAGGTGACTTCAATTTTTTTGTAAATGATATTGTTGCATCAGAGAATTGATTAAAAGAGATGTCTGCAAACTGAATAGCATCCTAGATTAGACTATGTAACAGAGAAGATCACAAGTTCTTGAAAATCTTTCAGAGGAGAGGCCAACACCTGAAAAAATTGCTCTGATCAGAAACTTGTTTTTACTTAAAATTTCAAGCATTTGCATACTAGTTTTAACTCTTCATTCAAGGTTGCTTTTCGCTGTAGAAAGTGACACTTATTTGCAACGCAACAATTATATTTCTTTCTCATTCTTAATCTACCATAAAACTCAGGCAACAAGTTTTCAAACATTCGTAGCAAGCAGCAACTGTGGAATACTTTCTGATAAGCTGATTTATGAACAAATCGGACAGAAGTTTTAAAGTTAACCATGTTTAACCACAACCATGATCACAGTAAGATTTCAGCTGGAAGTATTTTTAATTTATCAGTTAGGTGTTTTTTTTTCCAAGGAACAGCATATGTGTAGTAACAAGCATTCCACAGTTTCTTTGCTTCACTTGGCAGACAGTATACAGAATTTACAACCCACTTGGTAGACAATAGACAAAGAGACAAAGATTCTAACTTTAACCTAACTAAATCAGTGTTAATTGAAAGTTTAATACTGTCTAACTTCTTCAGAGACAGGACAAAAATTTTCACTTTGATTGCCAACAAGACCTAAGTTTTAACTATTAGAATATTTGCCATGTTTCTAAATATGGCAGAAGGTACAAGTGATAAGAAGAACCTAAGCCTCCACTATAGAACTCTTTCAAAAATTTATGAGACAGCTTTTTTTTTTTTTTTAAACAGAACTTATTTACCTAGTTCATCCCAGAGTTGTCTATACTTATCAGTCATGGCTGTTCCTTGTTGCCTCCACAAAGAAAGACGGGGGTCGGCCATAAATTGTTCTGTTATTAATGTTAACATTCGAGCACCATTTGAATCCCTCATCTTTAACATCTCCCGCACCTGCCAAAACAAGACAATTTATTAAAAGAACAAGTTGCAGACATCATGGACCATTTATTAAATATCTGTCAAGGTATGCATTTATTGAAAATGTATTTGCAGAGACAATTTCCTATGTGGGCCATCAGGTCTGCTAAACAGTTTCAACCAAGGAAGAAAATAAAAATCTATCAATTTAATTGCTTAGTTATTTCGGTAGCCACAAACATTTATAGTGAATGCCAAAACAAAATGATCTTTGACCAGTTATTTCCTCAATAACAATTAACCACTCGTCTAACATTGTCATGGTGAAACAAATAAAGAAGCCACTGGCACTACTGGTGCAATGAGCAAGCCCACCATGCCAGAGTGGAAGATCATCAACCTTGATCCAAAGGGACTGAGAAAGTTACCCTGGATGCAAGTGTTTCAGACTTGGGCAGCATGGTGGCTCAGTGGTTAATACTGCTGCCTCACAGCGCCAGGGACGCAGGTTTGATTCCAGCCTCGGGCGACTGTCTGTATGGAGGTTGCACATTCTCCCAGTGCCTGCGTGAGTTTCCTCCGGGTGCTCTGGTTTCCTCCCACAGTCCAAAGATGTGCAGGTTAGGTGTACAGGCCATGCTAAATTGCCCATAGTGTTCAGGGGTGTGTAGATTAGATGGGTTATAGGGGGTTGGGTCTGGGTGGGATGCCCAGAGGGTTGGTGTGAACTTGTTGGGCTGAAGGGCCTGTTTCCACACTGTAGGGATTCTATGATTCTATGACTGAATAGGTTTTCATCCATTTTATACTGCAGATTGTCAAGATCAGACATAAAGAAACAGTCCTCCATAAATATATGAGCATAAAGTTTGGATCGGACAAGATGTGGGAATATACATGGCTGCTTTGACTCATCAGGAAAAATATGGTAATTTACAAGAACATTTGAACTATTTTGCATACATTTATGAATACCTGCTCAAATTAAAAAGGGTTTGTGGACTGCTGTACAATGATTAAAAGAAGCAGTCAGCTAAATAGCTCCCCAATCCCAACAAACACACAAACACTGGTCACTGAGCACAGCTATAAAGTGGAATGCTAAAAGCGTTGAGAGGGAGACCAGAAATTATGATATAGAAAACTTTAAATGGATTATGATTGTGAAAGGGCTGAGGGAGAAAATTGTAAATGTAACATTATACACCACACTTCTGGGTTCAAATGACTGTGAATGTCCACCAGGAAATTTAAGAATGGCCAATGTCGTACAAGCTTTTTTTTTTAAAACAAAGTAGGGGAGACTGACCTAATGTAAGCATTTGCAGACCAGTTTACCTATACTTTGCTTAATAACTTTTGAGTCTCTTTCATTTCATATGTAACTACCATATGTTATTTACGGCGAAAACTGATGCAATCAGCAGGGATTTTACGGGACGATTATGCTCAAAATTCTTGAGAAATAGGAGACATGATATATTTGGGAAAAGGTGATGGATGCATTGCACAAACGTTTGCAAAGACTTTGTCAAGGTAGCATTTGGAAGATTATGACAGAGGCTAAGAATTAAGCAAGGATAGAAAACCAGTTTAAAACTTGGTCAAGACAGAAAAGGAGTTAAAGGTGATTTTTAAGAGTAGTTATGAGTGGGAAGTGGTATCGCTTAAGAGTCGTGTTCTGTTCACTGCACCCATCAAACAATTTGGACATAGTCCCAGAGGGAGTGGTGCCAAACATGCAAATACGACTAAGACTGAAAGAACTTGTTTAGGGATATTGACAAGACAGGAGTTAAAAAAGGCAGTCAGCTGGCATAAAGCGTTTTGGTTTAAAAAGGCAGTTAACTAATGAAAGGAAGGTAGATGCTGTGAAACAGCAGAGCAATTTTGAAGCATTGAATGCATTATCCCAAGTAGATAAGGGAACAGAACAAGAACTATAACTTCTATCGAGGGACAGAATATGAAAACCAAGCCAATAATGAGGAACTGACATTAAATCTTAACAAAATCTGCACGGAGGATGCTGAATGCAATATCAGACTAAAAACATCACAGAAAAGGTATGAAGGTTTTAGAAAGGGTGCAGTACAGATTCATTAAGATGTTCTTGAGAGGAAATACGAAAGAGACTGGAGTATTTTTATGTCATATTACAACAGATTATAGAATGACCTAATAGAATTTGGTTGTTTCCCTTTTATGGCACCAGCGATTGGGCCAGTATTTATTACTCATCTCTGACAACCCTTGGGAAGGGCATTACACATTGTTTCATCCTTTCATAATTTTGAAAAGACAGCTTCTAGTAGTTGAGTGGTCTAAAAGGACAGACAGTAGGTGCAAGCTTAAAAACCAAGATGCCACAGGCCCAGGTTCAAAGTCCCTTCCAGAGGTTTGTCGTAACACATCTACACAGGTTGATTAAAAATATCTAAAAGGAAGATATTTTGAACAAAGGAATGTTGCTGGCCATCCACCCATTACAGGGCAAAAGCCAATTAAGCGAGGTGATTCGGTGCAAAAACAGCAATTGCTGAAGGAGAAGGTAGAGCGGTAGATGCCATTTATGTGGACTTCAGCTAGGCATTCAACAAAAGCTCTGCATGGTAGACTGGTTAGTAATATCAGATCACACGAGATCCACGGAGAGCTAGCCACTGGATACAAAACTGGTTTGACAGTATGAGACAGAGGGGGGTGGCGAAGGGTTGTTTTTTTTGGACTGGAGGCCTGTGACCAGCAGTGCGCTGCAAGGATTAGTGCTGGGTCTGCTGCTTTTCCTCATTTCTAGAAATGATTTGGCTATGAATATAGGAGGCATGGTAATGATGACACCAAAATTGGTGGTGTAGGGGCAGTGAAGGTGATTATCTCAGAGTACAACGGGATCTTGATCAGATGGACCAATGGGCCGAAAAGTGGCAGATGGAGTTCAGTTGAGATAAATGTGAGGTGCTGTATTTCAGCAAGTCAAATCAGAGTAGGACTTGTACGGTTAATGGTAGGACGCTGGGGAATGTTACCTAACAAAGGGATATAGGGTGGCGAAGGCAGCATTTGGCACACTTGCTTTCATTGGTCAATACATAGAGTACGTCATGTTGCAACTGTACAGGACATTGGTGAAGCCATTTTTAAGAGTAAGAGCTCAATTCTGGTCTTCCTGCTTTAGCAAACATATTGCTGAACTTAACAGGGTTGAAAAAAAGATTCACAAGGATGTTGGTAGGGTTGGAGGGTTTGAGTTATAGGGAGAGGCTGAATAGGCTGAGCTATTTTCTCCGGAGCAGAGGAGGCTAAGAGGTGACCTAATAGACGTTTATAAAATCATGAGGAGCATGAATAGTTCTTGCTATCTCTGAATAGTCAAGGTCCTGTACCCTGGGGAAAAATAGAGTCCAAAAATAAAGGGCATAGGTTTAAGGTGAGAGGGGAAAGATTTAAATGGGATCTAAGGGGCAACATTTTCATGCAGAGTGTGGTGCTTATACAGAATGAACTGCCAGAGGAAGTGGTGGAGGCTGGTACAAGAACCATTCAAAAAGGCACCTGGATGGGTCTATGAACATGAAGGGTTTAAGAGGGGCCAAATGCTGGCAGATGGGACTAGATTAATTTAGGATGCCTGGTAAGCATGGACAATATGGACCAAAGTGTTTGTTTCTGTGCTGTACATTTCTATGACTGAGAAACTCAGCAGGCCTGTAGAGAGAGAAACAAGAGTTAACGTTGAGTCAGCATTAACTCTTTCTCTCCATAGCTGCTGCCAGACCTGCTGAGGTTCTCCAACTTTTGTTTCATTTTTTTCAGATCTTCAGCATCTGTAGCTCTGTTTTATGAGTGAGGTGATTTTGGTGGGGAGGCTGCAATTTTCCTAGAGTCACCCAGGACCTCTGGGGTGTTTGTGACTCTCCTGTTTATAAAAGGCGAGTGCAGAGTGGGAATAACTAGCAGCTCCAGCTTTACAGAAGATTGGAAAATGACCAGAAAACAAGAACAAGCCCATGGCTAGACGTAGGTAGAGACCTCTATCACTACAGCAGGCTCAGAGAATGCAGGGGATTGTGACTCCAGCCCCTTTCATGTTCTCCTTCTGGCTCTCCCTTTTGGGTTTCTGCCACGGCTGATGGACTCCCACTACAGCCCCAGTGACAGCCTGTGTTGACTCCTCCTTCCACTGCCCGCCTACTACATCTATTTTGACATGAAAGCAAACTACTCATTAGCTGCCTCTCATAAAATTAAGTGAATGGGTATTACGGAAACCCTTTGGGGTCAGGGCCAGGAAATGGTCTCAAAAATTCAGTCAAAAAATTCAGGCAAAAATTAAGAGGCTGTGGATTTAATTTCCAGCACTGGTGGGCATAATAAATTAGGTCAACTTTTCAGCTTATATTAGGGTAGATGTGTGAAGGGAACAGATTGTAAGGATATGAAGGCAGGGTTCTTAATTGTGATTAGAACAATTCCTTTTATAAAAAGTAAATCCTGGCACACATTATTTGAGCCAAATGGTCATTTCTCTGCTGTATATTTCTTCATCTACTTCAAATGAGCGTCAATGTTCCCACCGCTAATTAGCCAATCAACATTCACCATTTGACTTAAGAGGACAGCTGCTGCATGTACCCTCAGGGCATCAATAAGAGGGAAAATATATAGTACACCATATGATTGCAAACTGGATTTGAGTGTGATGCTTATTACTTATGAAACAAATAATAAACGACAGCTTTTCTTGCTTGTAACTGTCATTATGGGTCTATTTTAAAACCCAGGAGGTCCAGTAACCAACATGAAGCCAGGTTTCTGCCAATGGAAGGGTAAAGACAGGTTATCTTGCCAATCCCTCTTCTACTACAGGACCAGCTTTTCTTTTATTTGACACTTCACCATATCAGCACTGCTGAGACAAAAACTCAGCATATGGGTTGGCCCAGGGGAAAATTGTATTGCTAATTCAAACTCCACCATTCCAATGTGCTGTAGTTTGCAATTTCTAATGCTTTAAATCTGAAAGATTTTGCAACGTAAAAACCCATTTTAACCAAATGCTACAGCTGTGGAGAAGACCATGGTACATGGATACAAATGTGGCAGACCTAAACATTTATTTTGAATGTTAACTTAAGTATTTAACCTAATTGCTTGAACTTCCAATTAGATATTTCTCCTCCAAAGAGATATTCATTGAGGCCCATTTCCAACACACAATAATCAAAATGTAAAGGAGAATTCAGTAATCCTGTATTTCTGGCGGACAGTTAGGCTCACATAACAGTAGATGCGTGAAAATAAGTTGACAACTACTTCAGTTCTTAATTCTGATCTGCACTCCATTTGAACATGACTCCCTGCTTGGTTGGCAGGATTGGTATATTTATACTGCAGTTTTGGACTACTTGTAAGCAAAATATAGGAAAGGAAGTTATGACGCCATTTATATTTCAGAAATTGACAAAGTATAGCCTTCATATTTAAAATTCATCACACCAAGTCACAACGTGCATGGAAATACCTGACTCAATTTGAGCTGTACCATATGGTTATATTGTCCTGTCCAACATCCCTGCACTACAGTGTAGATGCATTAAAAAGAATGGTCTTATGAAATTCTATGATAAGCTATTTGCTTCTATTGCTTCTAAAGAAATTGACACCGATAAGATAGCATTTATCACAGACCAAGAGATGCTATCCTCGAAAACAAAATCAGGAGCTATTTTATGAAACAGTCTGCAATGACTTCAAGGGGTCACCTTTATATAATCTACAGCATTTTGTAGACTCCTACGCAAAGAATCTGCTTCTTTCAGCATTTCAACAAGCCAAATCCATTGTGTTAAAAATCAATGATGGAGCTCCAAGGCACCTTTAAACTAAAAACTTACAAAAGACCTTAAAAAGAAACAAGCCAAATCAGAATAACAAATTATCAATGCACCAGCTTTGATACAGTTGATGACATTAATATTTTAGGCTCAGATTATTTTACTTCTTCACCTCATCAGGTCTATAGTTTGATTAACTTCTTGTCACTGTCAGTTTTGGCATTGATCTGAGGTTTGCAGGTCATACATTCACATCAGCTACAGGGTGAGGGACAAGTTAAAAATCCATACCTTTGCAAACAACAAGTTCAGCTGTTTTCCAGATCCATGGTAACCGCCCTGGGAAAGGAAGAGTTTAACCTGTTCCTGAACCTGTTCCTCATCCAAGTGCCAACAGTTTTCATCATCAATGCTGGCTCCTGCTGTTGGATCAGGGGCACCTTCATCCAAAGAAGAAAACTTTTAAATCTGTAGCAAATTAAATTCAGTTCTAATATTAACAGAGTGAAAGAAATAGATGAGTTTCAGCGGAAGCATGGCAGGCAAAAAGAAAATATGAACCCTGTAATTCCAGCAGTAAAAATTGGTAGATTACTTAGTCACAGGACCTGGAGACTGAGTTCTCTATGCCTGCACTTTGTACAAGAGCACAGCAAGTTGGTAACACGTTTCGCAAATGAGGTACACAAATCATATTTTGGGAGGGAAACAGGACCAATTTCATCTTATGGATATAGAATGGTCCATTCTCTCTGTTGGAAAGACAAAGCAATGGAAAAGAGACTGAAGAAGGGAGGAATTGGGAAATAAGTTTATTTTGTCTCCATCTCTGAAAAACAATTTCACATTCCTGAAAAGCAAACAAAACAAATTGCCAAAAATGGCAAGAATGCTGCACACAACTGACAAAGGTCCTTGGAAAAATGCCAGAGTCAACTGCAAAATGTTGAAAGATTCATCCAAGCCTTGGTCTTTTCTGCTGAGCAATAGCGATAAGAAAGAAGCCTGACACCAGGAATTCTTGGCAAATTGCTTTGGTGCTTTTCTAAAAGTCATTTTTAATTCAGATCATGACAGGAGCCAAAGACAAACCAAAAAAAAAACCATCAGAACTGGAAGGATGGGACATAAATTAACTTCAGAAATCAAAAGACAAAAATATTTTAAAAAGAAGTTGAGTAAAAAACAGAAGTAACTTTTAAATCGAAGTGTTGGAGAAACTCAGAAGGTCAGGCAGCAGTTGGAGAGAGAAAAACTTTTTTTTTTTTGATTCCAGTATGATCCTTCTTTGGAATGTATGAATGACCAAAGAAAGAACAGAATACTTCAGGAGGAAAGTAGAAAGCAATTAGCAAGAAATAAGTTAAACAATAGAATATTTTCAAGCACACAAAAATCTTATCAGCAACCCTCTGGTCATACCAACTATTTTACCACAATGGCTAAACAAAGGCTACGCAAAATGTTCCACCATGGATTTCATGTATTCAAAAAAAAAAGTCACCAAAAAAGGTCACTAGATCCAGACTATGGAGACTTGCTACAGATTTATTTTGCAGTAGTACATATTTCACGTCGTGCAGAATGGAAGACCATCATAAATGACACAATCACTCTCTACTGATTTAGATCTGCCTGCTTAATACATTTGATTTAGTTTTAATAAATACTGAACCAGTCTAGTTACAGTAATACATTCTAAAAATCCAAATTCAACCAATGAGGAGAAAGCTCAGTGCCAGGTAAACGCGTTGAACCTACCGTGTACTTGATTGATTTCGGAGTTGAGAGAGAGAATTTCATCGGCTAGTTTTTGGGCAGTAGGCAGAACTTCTGTGTGATGTACTGTGATCAAATACTGAACAAATTTCTGCAGTTGGTCTCGGTTCATCTGAAAAAGTGTCTCTGAAATGGGAAGATGCAACTTGACCTGATCAGGTTTGCGAATCCGGTACAGCGAGAGTGCTACAACATGCGCGCAATAAAAGATGTCTTTGTTTCCGCAGCCACAGGTCACTGAGGTAATTTTGCAACGATCAAAGCTGATAGCAACATTGCAAACAGTTTCTGGTTCCGACTGTGTGGCAGGTTCAGTTACTGTGCCACTTAAGTGGAATCCTGCAGAAAATAAAAGAGGAAAGCATTCATCAACAATGCAATAAACAAACTCATCCTGCCATACACTGCCAACGAACACAAAGAAATGCATATTTCTTTTCATATTACAAAATGTGTCAACAATTAAAGCATAATCATTAAAGGAAAAAATATTGCTTTGCTTTTGAGCAGAGAAAGAGGTGACCGTTTTAACGACATTTCACTAAACACTGAGGGAGGGAATCTTCTGAGTAACTTTAGCACTCAAGACCTATGAAATCTTGCATTTTTCAGCTCTCAAAATAAATTATTTGCCAAGCAAGTTAAACCAGTCTCAAACCATAACTATGCCCCCACCCCTTTGCTTCAATCCAGCACAGTGGATGCCAAGCAGGATTGAGTTGCTGCAACTTGTCAAAGGAGTGGGAGATTTTCCAGTTTAGATGATCGCTGCATAATAACAGCTGTGCTGCTTACCCACAGGTGAGACTTCCGACAAACTGAATTCTTAAGTATCACATTGTTCCAGAGTAAATAGAACTTTTTAAAAAGTAATCTCCTAATGTGGGAACTAAGCCAAAAGCAATCAAAAACAACTCTGTACAGGGACAAACTTAGCCAGCAGTTTTAATGCTCAAGTTTATTCTCTTTTTCAAACAAAAAAGTGGAGAGGAGCAAGAAAGGGAGAAGCACTTTTTTTTTTAAGAAAAAAAAGGACCTTTTGAAAAGCGTATGTGAAATAAGTTAGCAAACTACTGCATTTAGACACAACTAATCTTTCAGCATTTTTTGACCACTTGCCATGGTAATTGAAAATATGAAGACAAAATACAGACATTTCAAGCAAGCACAAGTAAAATTTACAGAGTAGTTTCCCACTCAAGGTTACATGACCAAAAATAACAAGAAGTAAACAAAAAGCTGCATTACAGTCAAATTAAAGAAATAAACCAAAATGGATCTTCTAACTATCCTGGAGTACATCAAGGACAATTAAAGCTGATGTTTGGTATCAAAAGCTTCGCAGCAAAGAGCTGTCGTAGTTTAAACATGTGATTCTTTACAGAAAATGGCAAAAAGTAACAAAGTTCAAGACAAATGATTTTAAAACCTCATTAAATTTTCGTTAGTCGAAGACTCTTTCAATTCTAGGAATCTCAACAGAATATTCAAGGCAGATATAAAAAGAAAATTAGAATTTTTAGTCATGTGTGACAACTCCAAGATGTTACTGTTCTGCCCAACGCCCCAGAATGTTGCTGTAACTTATGACGACCCCGGTGCCACTGATTGACAATATTTCCTCTCACTCTCGCAAGCGGTCATCACAGTTTTAGAAAATTTCTGAGAATCCCATGCAAGATGGGACCATGTCTCAAAGACATTAGATGTCCAGGCAGGTAGGCACATTGAGCCAAGATAAAATTGAGGATAAAAGGGATCAACCTTTTCCTCAGCTAACTGCTACACCTGGAAATTTCACTCAGCTGCAGGTCCACAGCAGAACTACAGTCAGCCTTATAAAAAGGCAGGAACCATACAGGTTCCCCCAATAGTTTAACAAGCTAAGATCCTAAATTTAAGGAATACATTCATACAGGGCTTTTATTCAATTCAAAGCTGTCAAGTTAAATAATCATAATGGCAGAGGAACTGATGATGTTCCTTAGCTACTCAGTTAAGTATACACAGATACCAATTCAAATTCGTCAGATAATGGAGCAGTCCTTTCTTATATGCATAAAGTCATGGACAATATCCAGGCTTGGGCTCCCCTAAGTGTTAATTAGCAAACAGCATTTCTGCCACACAAATACTGGATAATGACAATCTCCAACCGGGGAAAGTCAAACCATCACCGTTTCCATGGCATTATCATCATCGACAGTAAACTTGCAGATGACACCAAAAAAATTGGTGGTGTAGTGGACAGTGAAGATTATCCAAGAGTACAACAGGATCTTGATCAACTGGGCTAGTGGGTTGAGGAATGTCAGGAGGAGTTTAATTCAGATAAACGCATTTTGGTAAGTGAAACCAGGGCTAGACTTGCACAGTTAATGCTAGGACCCTGGGGAGCGTTGGGGAACAGAAACCTAGGCGTGCAGGTACATAGTTGCTTGAAAGTGGTTTGCAAGTGCAAAGTGTAGGAGTTGGTACGACATATTATAACTGTACAAGACACTCGTAAGGCTACATGTGGAGAACTGCATACAATTCTGGTCGACTTGCTATAGGAAAGATGTTATTAAACTGGAAAGTGTACAAAAAAGGATTTACAAAGGATGTTACTGAGACTGGAAGGCTGAGTTATAAGGAAAGGTTGGATAGGCTAGGATTCCACCCCCCACCCCACCCCTCCCAGAGCATTGGAGGCTGAGGGGCAGAGATAAGGTGAATTGCCAGGTCTTTTTCACAGGATAGGCTAGTCCAAAACTAGTGAGCACAGATTTAAGGGGAGAGAGAAAAGAATTAAAAGAAACCTGAGGAGCAACGTTTTCACACTGAGGGCAGTGCGCACAAATGGAACGAGCTGCCAGAGGAAGTGGTAGAGGCAGGTAAACATTTAAAAAGACATTTAGACAAGTACATGGATAGGAAAGGTTTACAGCGGTGGGCCAAATGCAGACAAATGGAACTAGCTCAGGTTAGGAAACCTGGTTGGCATGGACAAATTGGGTCAAAGGGTCTGTTTCTACAATGTATGACTGATTTTAGACACGTCAGATCAGCAATGATCCTACTGAATCATGGAGCAGGCTCGAGGGGGCCAAACTGTCTACTCCTGTTGCTATTTCTTATGATCATATGATCTTACTCATGGGGGATTCTCATCGTAGGGCACACAGTTGTAGGGGGACACATTTTAAAAATAGATGAAAAAAGCCTTCTGTCAGAGGTTAATCAATGTCTAGAATTTGTCTGCCTCAGAGATACAGAGGCTCGATCACAAAGAATTTGCAGCCAAGGTAGGTAGATTTTTGAAATATTGAGTTGAGAATTGTGTGAAGCTGGCAATGATGAGGTGTTGAGGACTGGAGTAGATCAGCCACAAACCTAGACCTGTGGAGCAGGCTCAGGGGGTCAAATGGCCTACTCCTGCTCCTAATCCTTACCTCAACAAGTCAAAGCCCTGGAACTCCCTCTGACAGCAGCTACGAGCAATAAATGCCAGTGAAATTTGTATCCCACAAAGAACTTTTTAAAAAAAAGAGCTGTCCTTCAGCTAGGAAATTTTTTTTTACTTTAAACATAAAAAGGCCAGAAGGCAAAATTCCTGTTGTGTTCTACTCCTGATATACACAGGGATGACCTATTAGGTTGTGCACACATGCAGAAGTTTTATCAATGCTTTAACATGTCTGCTGTCATGCATACAGGTACTTGTCTGTAATTTAGTTTCCCTTTTTCAGTAATCATACCCAGCTTTAACTGCACACTTAGATACCAGGCACACAAAATCAAACAGGAAACAATTTAACGTAACAGCGCCAAAATAGGAGAGCTAGTTGAGGTGGGAAACCTCAACTTTTAGAAAGTACTTGGATGAACATGAAATGTCATAACATTTAAGGCTATGGGCCGAGTGTGGGACTAGTGTTAGCATTATATTTGTGGCAGTTCACGCATTGATTCTGTGGACACAAAGAAGCCTTTCCCCTTGGTGGAGGTATCAATGACTAGGGGTCATAGATTTAAAGATAAGGGGCAAGAGGTTTAGAGGGGATCAGAGGACAAATTTATTCACCAAGCGTGGGGCACAGGGCACACAAAGCTAAAAATCGGCCAAGTGCCTGAAACGTGATCAGAATAAATTATATGGCAGTTTTTGTCTGGCGCAGACTCGATGGGGTGAAGGGCCGTTTGCTGTGCTGTAGACCTCGGACGATGATCATGAGACCACAGTGCATGGAACTTCATCAGTACAATTTAAGAAGGTAATTCAGGAAAGACGAAGGCTTTTAAAGAAAATGAACACCATCGAGATTTTCAGCAGAAAAAAAGCTAAATTCAGTGTAGTTCCATGATGGCTGCCTTCAAGATGAAGGTACATTGCTAAGGTTAAGACGGCATACGTATCTCTTCAGATTTAAGATTGCAAGGTTGCGGCCAGGCATTAATGAAATCAAAAACTTGAGTCTCAGATGAGTCTCACTAAATCTTCCGTAGCCATGCCCCTCCTCACTTCATACACACTGTATTCATTCACAACTCTCCATTTTCCCCATCTTTCTCTTTCCCCATGTCACTAGCAAACAATCAGATTCCTTCCTGATCAACTCTACAGCTTAAGCAAAATTAGCACAAAATAATGAATCCCACTTTGTACTTTCTTCACTCTCAGCATTTACAGCTGTACCTCACAACTAAATAAATCAAGTACTACCGGTCATTACATCCTAATTGAAAAATAAAGAAGGAAACACTGAGGAATAAATATTGTCTCGATGATTGCAGTGCTTATTTCTTCAGCTTTCTCAAAGAAATTAGAATAAAAAGTCAGCACAGATATCAAGACATTGTGTTTATGAAACATAGACAGACAGATAAACATGTAGAGATATGGATACAATGAGGACCTCAGAACCAGCAATCTACAGAAAGCACAAAGCGAAGTACTTAGAATGTTTTTCACGTACAGTTTGAGATGCCCACTGACAAGAAAATAATGCAACAAACATCAAAACAATTCGCCATTTCACACAGCAAACCCTTTAAGGAGGTATAGTCTCAAATACCACAGGGTATGGGTTGGCGGAGAATAATGAGGTAACATATGACAGGCTATCAATCTGGTGTAGTCTCAAATTCAGAGGCAACGGTTTCTTTCTTGAGCGTATATCATGAACTTGATTAAAAGCCATAAAATTTTCACATTACATTGAATAGTGTGCAACATGATTTCTCAATGTAATATTCAAGGTTCATTGTTTCCAGTATGACATGCAGGGTAGCATTAAATACATACATTAAAACATTTAAATCACATTTCAGGTACAGATTATTTGTAGATTTTGGAC